TATATACATATATTAATAAATGTTTTAAAAAGAAAAAAAAATGTTGTTTGAAGAGCTGAAAAAATAATCATAATATTTACTTTTTATGAATCAGTTTTTTTAAACATAACTTCTAAAGTAAAAATGATAAAGTAAGATAAATTTCTCTATTTATCTGTGTTTTTTTTATTTATATTTGACAAAAATTCTGAGAAATTAAAAAAAAATTAGTAAAAGCATTAAGATCAAAACAACTTTTATTACGTTAAATTAATGAGGGAGAAATTTTTAAAGTAACGCCATTTCTGTTTGTCTGAAAAATCAGAAACGAACATTTGTTGTGGGAATGGACGTCGCTCTCCTGCAATTATTGGAAAGGGCGGATAAAATTTCTCTCCCGCAGATTTCTTGCTATCGTCAACGATAAGTCCACTCGAAGTGCCGACGTGCTAATAAAGAGAAGAGCAGTTGTTTGTCCTTCATTTAAACATCGAGATAAGGAACTGCGGGTCAAGTGGCTGTGAACAACGACTCGATGAACTTACCAGCGATAAGACGCCTCGTTCTCTACATAGTTATGACAGATGTATACTTTTATTTATATTTCCTCCCAGAAGAAAAAAAAGTTCTATATAAATCTTCGGCTTTTTAAGGCCGTTATGGGGGGAGGAGTGTATTCATTCCATTCCTTAATTAACGCCCGTAATTTTTGGTATTATTTAGGCACACAAAATGAATTTTAAATTAGGCAAATCTAAATTTTCCTGGCAATTTATACATATGTTTTTATAATTTTCGTTTATATTGTTACTAGCGTAGGAAAGCGTGCGGGTAGCGATATTGGCCATTCATCCGCTTATTCTCTGGCTTTTCGTATTTATCGGCCTTACGTATTAAGGTCAGAGTCGACAATTATAACGAGTCTACGAGCTGTCAGTATAAATAGTGCCAGACCACTCGCTTTTAACACCAACACTTCAAGTTTTATGAGCTTAGTGTCAGGTTACGTCGACGAGCCGAACGGGAACGTCGCCAGCTGGCTTGACACCCAACCTGCCATCTGCCGGGGTTAATTCTAATTATGTCACGAGTCGGGATCATGCGAGATGATTTATGATTTATAACTATGGCAAAAGCTATTCGATATAATATTTTTTTGTCGTATTTCCCATCGAATAAAAGATATAATTAGTAATTTTTTAACGTATGCTTTTGACGTGTCGACTCCATCAATCAATTTAATTAGACTTGCGTGCCAAAAATACGGGAAGTGTCCTATCGGTTTCGTCAAACACTCGATACGTTTTTCGTTAATAAAAATGTGTTACTACTACGTTTAATGGTTCCGATATTTATAAAAACGAAGCTCTTTTGTTCGGTTTGTCTTTCGGAATTTTTTTTCCTTTAATTACGTCGCTCTTACATCAGTGGGAAAGCCGCACGAAACTCGAAAACGCAATTTTAATTTTCGTATACAAGTCGTAGCCATGTTTAACCGTCTTATGTTTTTATTTTATTCCTCGAAAAAACTGTTATTCGTGACCTATCGACTCGATCCACGCTTTGCGTTTTTGAAACGATGATTCTGACTCGGAAGAAAAAAAAAGAAATAGAAGAAAAAAAACTAGTCTTTCCTGTTTTCGACCTTCTAGAAATAACCCCGGAAAAAAAAGTAAAAGAAGAAAAAATGCGATCGGAGCGAAAATGGAAAAAAAAGGCAAAATGCTGGCTCTATCAAATTCATGGCGGCTTCTCTTCGGTAAGCAAGTAAGAAGGGAATCCGATCGATAACAGAACATGCACCACACTCCTCCCTCCTGCTCTTATCGATCGGGGACAGTCCCTGCGGCCTGTCCACCGGCGACGACAAGTCAAGTGTATAAGTTGTTATTCCCCTTCTTTCCCCTCCGCTGGTTGAATTGAGAAGCAGTCGGGACTTGTCTTGTGTGTGAAAGAGAAGTTATACACCGTCGTTATACCTCTAAATAGAAAGTAGTCGGTAAAAGCATTGAAACTTATAGAATGTCATCCAAATCTCTTCTTTTTTTTTATTATTGCTGATATTAAACTGCTGGTGGAATAGCATTCTTGATGAAGAACATAACCTAATGTTCATTTGATGTTTCTTCTAATATTTAATATAATAATAATAAAAAACATTTGAGATTTTTAACCTCAATTTTTAAGTTTTTTTTTATAGCCTGTACAGCTACAATAAAATATTATTTAAAAATTGTCAAAATTAATTTAATGGAACTATCTATTGATATATATATTTTAATCCTTATGTATATGTAGTTTTATAATAATCTTTTATATTGCTGCACTAAATATTTTGTTATATATTACTATTCTTTGGTCACAAAATGAATATACTTTTGCTATAATTAAGAGTTTGTAGAGAATATCCAAATGGCATTTCTTTATTTCTTTGAGAAAATTCATAAAATCAATATGGATTTTTACACTTGGAAATTCAGAAACATTATTATAACTCTGGTTTTATAATTTTATGAATAATAACTGAATATTTAAAGCACCAATTACCAATTAAGTTGAAAATGTATAAATAAAAAATATTAAATTTAGACTGTCTGCATAAGTTATTCAAAAGATTTTGATACCAATTAAATAAAAAACTAAACTATCCTTCTTAACTACTAATAAACCTTTTGTAGATGTAATATTAATATTTGAAATAAATGATTATCAATTTACTGTTTCAAAACATCTGTAAAATATGCAATGTCTTGTTTGTATCAAAAATTTAAGCTTTACAATTTAAATTTTCATTAAATGAGAAATTTTTAGTTTCTGATTTAGTCATCCAATGAAATCTGTCATGCTTTATAATTTGTCAAATCTTTTTTAACATTTTCTGCTAATTCATTTGCATAAAAATCTTTTAAAAATGAAGAATCAATGAAGTTTCAGTTATATTTAATTTTATATACAGTTGAGCGTCGATTTTCCGAAAGTCAATCATCCGAAAGAATTCCAGTCGGCAAATTTAAATTTTCGCCAGTGCTGTGGCGTTTCAATCTTTGGTTATGTCTTGGGCTACTCAAATATTTTACGTTTTTGATACTAAATTAACATNAATAATAATAATTTGCAAATATCTTAACTGTGTCAATTATTTGGTTGTTAAACATAACATTATATTATTGTTAACATTCTGCAAAATATCTGATTGCTGGTGCTGAATGTCATCTTGTCAATATTGACAGACTTAATCTTTTTCACTATTTATTTGTAGTTGAAAATTGCTATTTTTACCATTTTATTTACAGTAATTTTGTGTTAGTTTTTAGTAAAATAAACGGAATAAAAACTATAAAGGTGTTTTTATTATTTTTTTCTTACTGAGGAGTGATATGCACCTAAAAATCATTTTTATGTAAAAATTTTGTCAAATTTATAATATCAAGGGCAGCACCATTTTTCTTGCTTACATTATATAATATAAACAAGATTGTCATGTATTAACTCTTATGTAATATTTATAATAATCAATATTATTAAATTTTCTCAAAATCTCTGAAAATGAAATTAAAATAAATCTTGCATGCAACACAACTAACATTAAAATAGTCTGTATTATTTTGCTTATTAGAAGTGATATAAAATGTATACATAAATAAGTCAAAATATAACAATTTCTGTATCAAATTCAGTAATAAGTGCTTTATCAAAAGAATTACTTTTTTTTAACAAACTGTTTATGTTGAATGTGCAAGTTTACAATTTAAAAAAATAATAATAATCTAGTGGGTCAAAAGTTTGTGCTTGGGTCTGGTTTATACAATCTTGCATTCACAACTTCAGACCCCAGGACAATCTGAATAAAAATGCATTACAACTATTGTTGTTAGAAATCTAATAAAGATCTAACTTATTTGTCCATTAGTTAATTTATTTTTCTATTTTTCTTCTTTTTTAGTTTATGCCTAAAAATTGTAAGTTACATTTTGGAAAATAGTTTTATCCAGTAGTGTTTATATAAAGTAAATAATATACTAATTTGATAAAGTGATATCAAAAAATTTTCAGATTTTAAAAGATGCGTTTAATTAATTTCTCTCGTTAACTTTACTGTACTATGGAAGTTAATCTTTATTTTGAGTATTGCCTATAAATATTT